AAATTTCTTGAATCACTTGATATTTAGGTTGATACAATGATTTTGAATATACGTAGATATTTTCAAATTTGGTGCCATTCGGGTGGAATAGCAATGTTAAGATAGCGTTTGTCTTTCCACAACCACTCGGCCCACAAATTATTGCACGAAACGAATTGGGTAATAATATACCATGCTTCCCAACTACACTACTTTTGTTGGCTTCATTCAAAAAGTCTAAATTTTCAATAGGTAATGTCTTGTCTTGTTGAACGACTTTCATGATGTGATGCTGGATAATGAGTGCGCTACGGTTATAAATAAAAACATCACAGTCATTACCCAATCATTTTCAATGTTGACTTACTCCGGAACAGGTGTCGTCAACTCGATTATCAATAAGCTCCCGTTCGAATTACATCTACCTGGTTATCATTTTTTCGGACCTGGCACCAAATTGAAAAAGATATTGGAACGCGGTGACACAGGTGTGAATCCTTTGGACGAATATTGTAAAGATCACGATATTGCGTACTCTCAAAGCGACTACTTAGAAGACCGTCATAAAGCAGATCAAGTGTTGGAAAATAGAGCTTGGGAACGTGTTAAATGGAGAGACGCTAGATTTGGTGAAAAAGCTGCAGCTTGGCTCGTAACTACAACAATGAAAGTGAAACGTAAGTTCGGCATGGGGTTGTCCTTTCGACGTAATATGATTCAAAAAATTACTAAAAATTGGAAGCCATATCCTACCAATATTGAGAAATCTAGTGCTTTGGCATTGCGAGCCGCTAAAATGGGATTGAGTCAAGCTGGAGGAAGTAAAAACATACGGATACCTAGGATAATACTATTCGAAGCAAAATCTGGAGGAATCCTCCCCCTCATACCTATATTCGCTGCCCTGTCAGTTTTGGGTTCGTTGGCAGGTGGAGCAGACGCTATCGCAAAAACCGTAATTGATGCTAAAAATGCCAAAAAGAAACTTGAAGAAGATCAACGTCACAATAAAGCTATGAAATATTTAGGTTCCGGTTTGTACCTACGTAAAACACCTCGAGGATTTGGTCAGTTCCAAAAGAAACAACAGCAACGCAAAGGGCGAGGTCTTTACTTGAAGAAGCAAAAAACTCCTACTGAAGCTACTCTATAGAGCATTATATGATTGGGAAATTCAAAAATGTGCCCATCAACTGAGAATTCCACATTTTCGTGGAGTCTTTATGCGCGACACGTTGCCAACTCTTGGTCCTCGGCTGCGAGAATGTGCTGTATTGAACTTGGATTCTCGATTGAATGCAGGCACTCATTGGGTAGCTTACATTATAAACGGCAATGCTATACAATATTTTGATAGTTTCGGTAATCTCAAACCTCCAATGGAATTGGTTAGATATTTTGGAGGGGGTATAACGATTACATATAACAATGATCAGTATCAAAATTTTGACCAGAGTAATTGCGGACATCTGTGCCTACAGTTTCTGCTCCATAATGTCTGCAAAATTGGTTGGAGATAAATCTTTGCGAGATTTAACCGATGCTGAATTGAAAACTTTATCGATCGACTATTTGATTGAGAATGCTGAACCTTGGAAATTATTGGATGTTTGGCATAGATTACCAAAGGACTACCAATATCGATTTGCCTTGCAGATTCGTTTACCATGTTTCATCCATTACCGACATGAGGTACCACCACCTACATCAGCTGCGTCATCGCTACAAAAAGCAATGTATTATGGTCCTGTGAGTTCGCAAATAGAAGGTTATTATTGTAGAAATAAATGTTTTTTATCCAGGATCTTGTTGTTGTTCCAATCAATATTTAAGGAGATGTCATACTGACATTATATCAGTCATGTCTATGATATTAACGCTAACGAGTCTTTCTTCGACGCTCTTCATCGATTTCAATCCACCCATTCGATTAGATTCTGATTCTGAATATACTTTGGCTTTGCTCAGTTTCCATTCGTACAACAGTATACCCAACATTGAAGAAGGTACGAAATTCTACTATTATGAAAACGCTGACAAAACCAAACAGAAAAGCATCGATATCCCTGTTGGATCTTACGAAATTAGTGACATTGAAGAATTAATAAACAAATACATTACGCCTCAAACGTTCAAGGAAAACCCTGAGGATTTTTTTAAAACTGAATAAAAAAACGCTGAAAAGTGAAATATTCTGTCTGAAGCACTCGATTGATTTCCGACCTGCAAATATCTTGGCTCAGATACTGGGGTTTTCATCTACTCTTCTCAAACCAAATGAACATTATGAATCCGATCTACCTGTGGATATCATTAAAGTACGCACCATACATAGCAACATTACGTTTGGAGCCTTCTACAACGACACTTATACGATCCGGGGTACAACTTCCCTAACATTCTACGGAAATTAAAAAAAAAAATGTAGTCAAGTATATAAAATGAGTCAATTTCGGTTCCGACAAATCTCACACTTAAATACCCAACATTCGCAGTTACTTTCAATATCTTACGTTGGTGTAGAGGCTAAGGACAATGTCCACCACGCGGACGTCGTGGGTTCGAATCTCATAACTATAAACTTTTTTTAATTTGAATCACGTGACTGGCATGAGACAAGGAGGCCGAGGGGTGAGGCGGAGTCTCAAGAGGGCCTGAGCGGTGATATGGAGTACTAAAGGGGGACGAAGGGGCCCACGCTTTTCGAACCTCTCCGGTATTCATTCCATCCTGGGTCGATGACGTTTCCTCCACTCTCGTTTGCGCCAGAATCGGTGTTGTTCATCTACTAATGTTTTCTTCTATATTTGGTCAATCGTGCAGATACTACTTCGTTAACTGTCTTTTCTTCAACAAAATTCATTTGTAAACTATAAACATTTACAGAAAAATCGTTCTGATTTTCAAATTGTGTAATGCAGTGAATTGGCATAGGAATTTCCAAACCCTTTCTATTCAAAACCGTATTATAATTTGGATATGAAGAAGCATGTGAAACCTTCCATTTGGGAGGGTACACTAACGATTGCTCCGAAGAAACACGCATCACCTCAATGATCAAGATTCACACATGCATGCCTGTTTGCAATTTCACTGGGTAGCCGTATGAATCATGAACCGTTGCCCATTTCATATTTATTGACTTCAATTTCACAATAGATTTTTCTCTACAATGGATATAGCGTTAATTTCATTAAAATCCATCTACAACAAAGAAAAGTTATACTACAAATGATATTTCCTATCTCGAATTGAAAAAAAATTTTTCCTTTCACAATCAATGAAGTACACAACTTCGAAGAAAATTATATTTGCAGTACGTAGAAACATCTTGGAAAAAGGAATATTTCGTATTTCGAATTGAAAAATTGAATTCATTGTTTACACAAACACTGAAGCACACAATTTTGAACAAAAATTTTGAAAACTGCTCAATTTACTTCAGTTCAATGAGTTTTGACATTGAAATACATGAATATACATTGATTTTGAAGAAAAATATTGTATTTCTGTTTAAAATATGTTTTCTCGTTAATCAGCTGTCGCACCCATACGAACGACAACTCTCAGAAGTTGGGAAACTTGTGCGAGCTGAGGACTAACGAGGTCTTACCTTTTAACGTGTGATTCCTAACACACATCTGATTATTGAAGATCTTGAAATATCAGCCCCAGTTTTTATTTGAACCGCATCAACCATTGTATTAATTTATAGTTACACATTTATATGCGTGTGTGCGCCTATTGGGCATCGTCACTACCGGGCAGGCGGTCCTCGATCAAAGACAAAATGCGAATAACCAAGAAAAGTACTTAAAACAAATAACTGCGTAAACGCAAGCGAGACATAAGTGAAACTACCTGGTTGACCAATCAATCGACAACTACGGTAGCAGAATTTTGAGAAGCTTACCTGAAATGCCATCGGAAAACGAATCCACATGTTTCTAGAAATGATATGAAATCGAGAAAGATTAATACAGTCAAGCTGCTGGAAAATAATTCCATGGAAATCAAAAGATAATAGATGAGTACTATTGTGATCATTCCCGTATTGATTCCAATCTAAGAGCTACCGGTAGACAGCTGTTTCAGCCTATTGGGCATCGTCAGTACCGGGCAGATAACGGAATTCTACGCGACAATTCGGAGCTGTAAGTGGGAACGTGTATTGGAATCTCGCTTTTCGATCGAGTTTATGCAAAATATTCACCGAAAGTAAGGTGCAAAGGACAAAAATATTTTGGTAGACAATTTTGAAAACTGAAAAATGTACAGAATGCTGGAAAAAAGTTCATTATAGGAATACATCTAAAAACTTTCGACACTAAAACAATGTTTCTGTGCTCATTCCTGTTAAGTTTCATTCCCTTGTTTCCAAAAAACTTTTTGCACTGATGAGTTGAATTGATTAAAATTGGGAAACACTGGGAAATTTCTGTTTTCCACCACTTTTATTTGTAACTAAAGTTACTGCAGTTTCAACCTATAAGGACATTTTCAAACTTATTCAACATTATACATTTGATGTAGGAGTTCAAAAATGTCCTTAAAGGACGAAACTGGAGTTACTTTAGTTACAAATGAAAGTGGTAAAAACATAGAAATTTTCATTTCTCATTTTTCATGATGATCTCCTACCACGTAGTAACGGCTACATCAATCAATTCATTGTACCAAATATTCTTTGCAGATTTCACTGGAAGATGACTGTTTGATACTTTGAAATAAAGTCGAGATATATATTATTTTCAATAAAAAAACTTAATCTTCATCAAGGTGTAAGACCTCTAACTACGAAAGAAATTGATATGAATCGCTTAATTTCTTTCGAGCATTATTCACCTCACATCTCAGTTGGAAAATTATCTTGAAAAATATTCATCCTGCAAGTATCCTACTCCACACAAATAACCTCAAAAATTACAAGTGAAGTTTTACACATTATTCGTTCCCACCTTCCAGTTATTTTCATAGGTGTCAATCATTTAAAACAATTTCATCAGAGAATATATAAAAGGGAGCCTCGATATTTTTTATATTCGTTTATGGCCATGTGACATCAGTTATATTGTACAATTTTTACTTTTTCATCCACGATATTCTCCTTAGAAGAATTGATCTTCAAAGTTTCAACTTCGTCAGCTTTCTTACCCAGCTGAAAATTATAAATTTTGATAACACTCCTTTCTCTTTCTGAAGCAGATCGTTTGTATTCTTTTTTTAAACATCTTCTAACAATTTTTGCTGCTACATGGGAATACACAATATAACTAAAAAATTGGAAAATATGCATTTCGCTGAATAGTGAATAGTTCTACTGATTATTGACTCACTTCATATTCAGTCTTCTGTATAACGCATTATGTATCATTTTGCTTCAGAATATAAACTATAAAAATAGAGAAATAATGAGACGTCAAAATGTCAAAAACGTTAAGCTTCCTTCGTATTTTTGAGTGATGTGAACTATCCAGAATAGCATAAAAATACACGAAACTAAATTTTACAAAATATCCAGTTCTTTCTACTTCAGATGAAAATTTCCATATTGAGTTGAGTCTTCAAATTCCTGATTTCTATTTTCAAGTTCAGAGTGGTAGTAATATTTAAATTTTGAATTTTACCAATTAAAGGTTCTGTACGTATCTTATCAAATTTCTCAATAATATATTGTAACATGTATATATTTAAAAAAATGAAGCATGTATCTTGAGAGGAAGTTTACAGTAAATGAAGTCCACTAAAATTGATTGTGAATTGAAATGTATATAATCACTCACTTTATTTTGAATTTTATAAAATTATATGTAATTTTCTACATCCAGCTGACAGAATTCATAAGGTGTTCAATGGTTCAGAAGATAAGCGTTGTAATAAGAGATGCATGCCAGAAAATAATATCAGAAACATATCATATTGTGAAAAATGGGTTAACAGATTTTATTAAATGGTCTAGAAGTGAAAGACCAAAAATATTTTTCCCATCGCGACTTGTTATAAAAGAAACGAGTGGCACCGATGAGATGATAGTACGAGTACCCTGCCACGAAACTTCATTGTACATCAATGAGGATGATAGTGTTCCATAAAAAATACATTTTTTATCGATTCCTTATCATACACAACATTGTGAAGCGTTCTTGTGAATAATATATGTTTCAAGTATATAATGAATTATTGAAGTACAAACTGAATGGGAAAAATTATTTTCGATTGATTCAATGTTCACATGAGCGTAGTTGTTTCGAAAGCACTTTTTTTTTCTGGTGAGTAGATTTTTCGATAGGATTTTTTTCACTTTGTATCTGTGTATGATCTACATATCTTCATGGAAAGTTTTCATCGTAGTTATTTTTTCAATACTTGGTTGAAAATCATTTTGGTACATATTTCAGCCTGAGTTTATACCTTTTCCCACGTTTTTTCAACAAACGTGATAGTGTCATCAAAAAATGAATACAATTCATGATTGAAATTGGAAATTTTGAAGTTTTTCATATATATTAAAAATAGTATGAGTCCCAATACAATTCTTTGGGATACGCTCCGGGTAACTAGTAGTCTGTCGCTGAGAGAGCCGTTAACCTTAACAATTTGTGTTCTATTTGTCAAATAGTCCTCAAATATTTCCAAAGCAACACCCCCCTTACCAATGTCAGCTAGACGTTGAAGGAGTATATTATGATCGACGGTATCAAATGTCTAGGCCAAATCCAAAAAGACAGTTATGCATTTTTGTTGATTGTGGAAGCAGTTGATGATTTGTTTAACAATATCATCAACTGCGTTTTCTGTGTTATTTTTTTACCCGGAAATAATATCAATCAACTGTTTCTTGTTACTGGGAGTGGGAATATTGAGTTGGCGATACCATTGCGGCTTCCTCACAGTTTTTGTGAAATGACTGGAAAATTAGTAGGCCAAACAGTTTTTTTTCAGAAAACCCCTTCTTCTATTTGGAACAAGAAGTTCACAGGGTTCTTTCCATAACGAGTGATGCCAAAACTATTATTTTTCTTAGAAGTAGAAAAGTGGTATGTTCAGTGCTCGTTCTATAATTCAACCAATTCAACTATAGAGTAGTTAATTGTTCATTAGGCAATCAAAATGGATTCGTTATCTCCTCGAAATTGTTATATCTATCCCTGAGACTGCAAGATATATGTATAAGGTGGATACAACGAAGTAACATTTAGTATGGATTGATTTTCGGGAAACACTGTGTGTTATTTGTGATGGTGACGTACAAGAATAGACATGGCACAACACAGCCAGTCTACTATACCTATTCAGAGAATATACGTGGAATACTATATAAGTGGGTACCTATATTTATTGAGTAACACTCTTATATTAATATACAGCCGAAGCTACTGAACCTAGAATCTTGAAGTAAGCAGATAGAGTTTTTGTATAGCATAAATAAACATCGAGGAAGAAAATCAGGAATTTCTACCCCCAAGGGGAAAAATAGGGGTTTGAAGATTTTATTAATATTCGTCTGTTTTGAAGTTGTAAACATGAAGTTTATGTTCGATAAAAAAATATTGTAACTATTTGTTTAAAATGATCTGACACGAAACTTGATGTTACTTACCAAATTCTATGCGAGCGAAGCCACGTGCAACAACTAGTCACTAATAAAACTACACTACATCCATAATAAAACTTCACTCAAATTTTGCCAGTGCCGAAATTTCTTCAACATCTAATGTCTAAAATTTTCAAATATCAACCACGAACAAGGTCGCGAAGCAGGGGATGTGCTATAAGCAGCGGACTTACTTCAGATTATTAATGAGGCAACCAGGATTCCTGACCGTGATGCTAGTCTTCTGGATCTATACCTAATAACCAATCCAGAAATTCACACAGTCACCGTGAAGCCTCCATTGGGATCTTCTGATCCCAAACTCATTTTCGAGTTGGGTGGATTACTGATAAATGTTGGGAAACAATCTAAGCCGTACAAAGTTTGGTATTTCAGATCTGCTGAGTAGGAGGATCTCCAAGACCTTTTCCGAAATTGTTTCTGGCTAGTTGTCTGTTTCAGTTATTATATCATCCATGAATACATATATCCCTTTTTCAATAAAAAAAACTTCTAACGGCAAGCCTTGGTTGCAAACTAAGAAAAAATTTAAAAATAACTTCACAGTCAAAGAATTATGGTTAAACTGCTTGTCAATTCCAACGGGTCAAGATCATTCTAGTCTATAGCTGAAGCAGAAAATCAAAACATTACAAAATCTACAATTCTATCACTAATACAAACGGATAGATCACTTGCAACAACAGTCATAGAGAAAGCAAATCTGATAGCTGAACAATTTGCACCCTACTACACAGTCGATTTTCTGGAAAAGGGTATTACCTACTATTCTCACACTAGAAACCACATACCGGAAATTACTCTTCCCCAACGTCTTGTTGGGAGCATTTTAAACATCTCAATATCAACATAGCGTCTAGTCCTGATGAAGTGCGATCATCGTCAAGTGCGCCAATAAACTCGCACCAGTGTTCTGCAAACTTTTTAACCTGTCTCACAAGGAAGGGTTTTTTCTTCTAGTTGATAGATCGCTTGCGTTCAGTCTATTCCAAAAAGGGAAAGATTTGCAAACTAAGAAAAAATTTAAAAATAACTTCACAGTCAAAGAATTATGGTTAAACTGCTTGTCAATTCCAACGGGTCAAGATCATTCTAGTCTGTAGCTGAAGCAGAAAATCAAAACATTACAAAATCTACAATTCTATCACTAATATAAATGGCTAGATCAATTGCAACAACAGTCATAGAGAAAGCAAATCTGATAGCTGAACAATTTGCACCCTACTACACAGTCGATTTTCTGGAAAAGGGTATTACCTACTCCCCAACGTCTTGTTGGGAGCATTTTAAACATCTCAATATCAATAAAGCGTCTAGTCCTGATGAAGTGCGATCATCGTCAAGTGCGCCAATAAACTCGCACCAGTGTTTTGCAGACTTTTTAACCTGTCTCACAAGGAAGGGTTTTTTTCTTCTAGTTGATAGATCGCTTGCGTTCAGTCTATTCCAAAAAGGGAAAGACAATCTTCTAAATAACTCTAGACTTGTCGCTTTGTTACCTGTGATATCAAAAATCATGGAGAAAGCCATAAATCACCATTTTTTTTAAACATTTGAGATGCTTTAACATCTAGAGCGATCATCATATGGCTTCCGGAAACAAATATTTTATACTGTATGTCATATTTGGAATCACACAATCTAGAAACATTGAGGTATTTGTGTGAAATAAACTACCTGAGAACGTTTTTCCAAATTAATTTAATCTGCAGCGGTTCAAATCCAACGTGAATAACTACTTTCGCTCAGGCATCACTCTTAAAGCCCCTTAATGATTTCCCTGTAGTGCTTGTGTTCTTTCCTAAAAAATAGGGGAGATTTCATTTCGGAAAAGGAAAAGAGAACAAATTTATTCTAACCACAAAATAATACGTTCTATATCTGCAGTTGTTCAACTTTCCAGTAACAATAAAATTGAACCAAGGAAGAAAAAAAGTCGTTGAAAGAACTTATGACTCCATTATTGTTTTATGAGGGAACCATGAGCGGAACTAACTTGCCGACAATCACACCTCTAATTGCTGCCAAATATCTGTAGCGAGATTGTTTTCTCACACCTTTTGGAGAACTGTAGACGATCGGACATTCCTCATCGAAAATCAATTATTGCAAAATTACATTTTCCATGAGCGGGGGTTACAGGTTGATAAGGTTTTCATAAATAATAATAAAATACCAGATATACGCGATATGTGATACTTTAATTATACATATTTGCATTTATTCATTATTTGAATTATCGCAACCTGTGTATGTGTTTCGCAGTGTATCATAGATTTTTAAAATTCAGGCTCTGTTTACTAGCTTTTGACGTCCTGAACCAAACTTTAGAAATACATCCTTATGGAGTGTCTAACAAAAATGCAAAACTTGTTAATGACCAAATGATCAAATGAGTCTGTAAAACAATTACACATTTGTAATATAACTGATACATCCAATACTTCTCCTAATAATAAACAAGTGTGGTGAACAATAATTAAATGAGAAGAACCTTTAGTTGTATCACTTGACACTTGTGGTTGATTGATTTGACTAAGCTTTCAGCCTGCGCTGTAGGCCATGGATAATTCGGGCCTGATTCTCATACAGATTTTGTCATTCATATTCATACCCTCAAATTACTTCATAGGATATTAGTTATATATGATTTGGTTAGTAAGCAACTGGCAGCACCGTCTGTGTGGTAGTTAAGAGAAATATTGTCCGAAATACCTATTTCATACTTGTATGTATCATCAATTGTTAATATTATGGTTCAGTCCATCACAATAATTAATTCACGAACTACGCAAAAAGTAGACTCAAAAATAAAACAAGAATGAAA